ATAACTTGTATATGCGCTCCGGTATTAGCAGAACTATTTTTGTATTCATATGAAACAGAATTTCTGCAAAATCTTATGCGTAAAATGAAGAGAAAACACTTGCTGTGGCCCTCAACTCCACATATAATTATATTCTTGACATATTGTCAATTAACAATATGGTAATTTCCATTCTTATGTCGATACGATATATCTTGGTGAGCTTTAGATAAAAGATACCACAGAGTCTGACACATATGTTTCATACTTGGATATTTTACTTGAAAAAAAGACAGTAATAGTAATCTTATAACGAAGCTATATGATCAACGTGATGACTTTAACTTTTCTATCGTCAACTTCCCTAACTTATGCAACAATATACCTTCATCAGCTGCATACAGAGTTTATATATCTGAGTTCATTCAATATGTAAGAGCATGCTTTACGTATGAACAATTTCTAAAACGAGGTAAATTATTGACAAACAAGTTGATGAAACAAGAATTTCAGCTGACTCGTTTAAAGTCTTCATTGTGTAAGTTCTATGGTTGATGCAATGACCTTGTCAGCAAATACAATTTATCATGGAGTCAAATTCTGATTAACGTTTCTCATACTATTTGTTAATCCAATACTTATACACTTAAGAGGCAGTCCACTGAAAATCAGGCAGGGTTGTATTAATAGGCGGCACATCGAAGGTGACGAATATTTGAAATTTTATTGAAAACTATATCGATATAGTCCAAATGGAATAATGTAATCGAAGATTTGTTTTAAAATTGCTAATTTAGTAAAATATCCTTTTGTTTCGTGTTCTTGAATTCCCCTATATAAACCACTGAATTTAGGTCTGAAACAACGAACTGTAATTTCCAATACTTATCTAACAGGACTATAATTCATGCTGAACTAAATCTAGAAATATTTCATCTTTCTGTTTCAAAAATAAAATTGGTGGGCAAAACACTTTTGATAGTATTTTTCTGTCAAAATATATAGACGTTTTTATGAAATTTTGCGATGTAAGAGTTATCTCCCGTGGCATCGGTAAATCTGTTATACACCTTACTATCGAAATCCTAGTGAAATATTTAGAATATATACAGAAAATAAAATTATTTAACAAAAACTTACTTACTTACTCATTTTCGCCTCCAAACGTAATAAACGCATTAAATGCAGAATATTTCTAGTTTTAGAAACCGAACCCGATTGAAATAAAACTGATCCCGATTGAAAATAATGCAAAATGTGTAAAGTTATAAAACTAAAGACAACTGCCACCCATAAGACATGTAAAAAATAATAAATCAATTAATTTTTTGGCCATATTACAACAAAACAGCCAAATTTAACATTACAATCATAGTATTTCCTTCTTTATATAATTCCGGTCGGGATCGGTTTAATTGTGAAAAATTGTAAAGCATAGGTAAATTTGACTCTTTTTATTTCTCTCAATATACTATTGCCCAAATGATTTTATTGAAAAAAGTTTGTACTTTGTATTCATAATAACATGAGAAAAAAAATTCTGTCATTGAAATTTATTGGGTTTTATAACGTAATGAAAATTGGATAATGAATTCAAAAACTTACTTGCTAAACTCAATTTGGACCACATATTTTTTTCTAAAGAAATATAAATTGGAGTCTTATTCATTACTAAAATTAAAGATAAGAGTCTATGGTATAAATAATATTGATAGACACACCCAGGATTTGCGTATCTGGTACATATAAAACAAAATAAAAATGTAGTAAGTTTTTTTTACCCCCATGTTGACCTTTTTGCACTTAAAATTGAGCACTTACCAAAAATAGGACTAGAGGAGCACTAAATTTTTTTTTGATGTTGTCATGTGTAAACACTTGCTTTAATAAGTCTATATGCAAAAAATAATAAAAATCCATGACATGCGATGTGCCACCCATTGCCTGATTTTCAGTGGACTGCCTCTTAATTGACGACGGTTTTTTATTCCATTATTTCCCGAGTGTCACAAGGAGCACACAGACGTCATGGAGGAGTGAGCATCCATGCCGACCGGCCACACCCGCCGTATGCTCCTTGTCATGGTCAGGAATAGTGTAAAGTGATCATGACAAGGTGTTCACGGCGGGTGTGACCATTCGGCAGAAGATGATCACTCCTCCCTGTCACCTGTTCCCACTTCTGATGTTTTGAAGGTCCGTGTTTGCTCTGCTCCTAATTTGTATTGTTTTATGGACCTTGATATTGAATACTGTTTGTAATCTCTGTATGTTTCATTTGTACAGTTAGCTCATGCTTATACTTGATAAAAACTTTTTTAAAAAATTACTTAAGGTAGAACCTATGTCGAAAAAGTATTTGTCACAACATTTTCAAACTTTTTAAAATGAAAAATTATCACTCGCTTATCAATCAGTCAAACGCACATTACATGTTTCTTTAATATTAAATGTAGTGCAGCCTGTGAAACTTGGAATGGTAATCACATACTGCGACTACACATTTTCAGTCATTTTACGGGTACTTGTATAAAGAGAATATGAAAAATCTCAAAAATACTTAATTAAACATCGACGGTCGTCGACTATATAAACTGAACAGTATTAAACAGTATTCCTCAATAATAAATTCCTTTTTATTTCATTGACATAAAAGATTAGTCCACACTTTAGAAAGAAATAGGCAAATTAACTCTTTCATTTTTAGTCAATTTTCAAAGTCTTTATCATACTGTTATCAATCATAATATGATGATGAACATACCCAAATGATTACAAAAATTGTATAAAGTATTTAAATTTCCCCTCAAACAAACGAGAAATTGGTTATTTACCGATGTTACATTTCTTGACCTTTTTGCACTTTTATCAAAATTTTTTTTTAAAAAACTTAAAGAGATCATATTTGATAGAAAATTTGTAATCAAAAATAATTATTACATAATTAACGAATAACTATGAAAAGGCATGCATTTCATGATAGACATCAAACAATTATACACAATATTCAACACATTTTTGACTCAAGACACATTTATCAAGATATTAGTGATACTTTTTAGTTGGCAACTGAAGATTTAATTTTTAGGATTTTGCATTCCCTAAAAATAGTTGCATACCATTCACAAGTTATCACAATGTAATTTCATTACATGAGAATAGATTTGTCCACTTTAGGTCAAGATCTATAGTAAATGAAAAGTGCCTACAGGTTTCTCTAATTTGAGAAATGTATTATGTCATTTAGCTTTATAATTAAAATATATATAAATTGAATATAGGTATTAAGAGTATTTTAGCATGGTTTTAAAATGAATTCCATGAATTTTAAATTGCTTTACTAATTTACTTCAATTTCTATTGAAGCTGTAAAGTACGGGAAAAAGTAATAGTAAATTGATTATGATGTCATAACGGTTCTAGCACAGACTATACACATGATGTCATACGACGTAGGTTCTACATTAAGCTGGATTTTTTAAATAACTTATTATTGGGTGAATCATGTAAATTGAAATCATGTTAATATAACTTAGATAATGCCTCCATATACCACATCTGTTTTCTGGTCAAAACTTGGTTCTATTTCAAAAAAATAAAAAAAAAAACAATCAAATCAAGGAAAAATAATTTAAATCATACAGGTGCATTTAAGAGCTTGTCAAGAAATAAGGAAAAAATATTTTAAAATTGAAAACATTTGCATTGACATCCATGCTTTGAAAGCAATAGAGAGGAATGAGGAGTCTTATAGTGAAAGTACCTGTAGAAGTAGATACTGTTAAACACTGCTCGTGTCCTCTTTAGATGTGGACCGGGTAAAGAACAAGTTGTCATCATTTTTAATGCATGTTAAGTACCTTTTAGTAGTGCTAATTAACCGTTGTGCCAGTGGAAATGTCAATAGAAGATTAAATCACAACATATAATTGTATATGTTGTTTATCCTCTTTAATACGTGAATATTTTACCATGAAAAGTCATGATAGCAAAGAAATCAGCTAAAGATGACCGGTACCATGATGACTTCAGCCTTGCTTTCGTCAATTTCTCTTCCTTGATATTGATATTAGCAATATATCGTCATCACTCCTATTAGTATTATTATTTCCGCTTTATTCGCAAATTGGAAGCATTTTCTCTTTGAAATGTATTTCTAACTCAGACAGGCTACTGGCTAAGTATAGCTGGGTGTAAACACAATTTAAAGACCTTGTTTGCAAATACAATATATGTCAGTTTGGTCGAACACTGCCTACGTTTTCATTACAAAAAAGTACCGACATTAGGTCATTATTTTACAACACCTCATCTACAGATCATTTTGACATCACAACTGGTCAACATGGGATGCTCTCTTATCAAATACACCTGATTCCACAACTAATGTTTTAATGGCTGTGTTTACTTCAAGCTCAATTTGTATGCCCTTTTTGAAATCTCCATTATCAATCTCCCCTTAAATATTTTTTAACAGTAGAAAATGAGAGAATTCCAAACTTCTTTTATTTTGAATTAGGGAAACCCTGAATTTGTAAATATTTTGCTATGAATATGAAAAATCTTGGGTGTTTTACTTTGAGTAAACAGGTGAAATTATAACAGAAAATTCATCACAGTTTTATCTATATTCCGTCAATGAATATTTACAGCCTTACGTATAGAAGAAATTGCGAGGTTGTAAAAAATGCCTTTTTTAGAAATGTTCTAAAAGCACTCTGTAATAATCTTTATTGTCACTTTACAATGCAATTAACATTTCCCTCAATCCCAACTAGGCACATTTGTTTTAAAATGTTTTCCGTTCATTAAGTGTTAACAATCAATTCTCCATTCCTTACTGTTTAAATATGAATGGATGCATGAAAATTTCACACATTTCTATAACTATGGCGAGTGAAACAGGTTGCAGTAGGTAATATGCTTTGATTATAAATTAAAAGAAATTTTCTTTAAAAAGTTTCCTTTTTAACTACGCAGTATTTTTCTGTTGTTGAAAAATTTATATTATTATTTTGAAGAAAGGGCTATCAGTGCTGCTACAACCAGTATCTAAACGATACGACTAAAGAATGCTCTGGTACGTATAATCTTTATTATTCTTTTAAGCTGGAAAATAGAGAAACAAGTTTCAATAATACTAATATCAATACTTTCTAGATTTTAATATCTATTCTGAAAATGTATATCTATTTTAAATGTTATTTATTGCATGATTAATACAAAGGATTGGGTTACAATTTATAAAATGAATAAGATAATGATTGTTAAACCAATTATTTTATTTTAACGAAAATGTACAAATATACATATATAAAATATTTCAAAGACACATCATAATAGAGTTACAAGACTATAATGATGCCTCTAGATATATACACATAGGCAACATTGCTTGTCAAATTCTTATCATCTTCATTTCATAAAATAAATGCAATAAATTATTATAACCTTACAATTTCAGCATTTCAAAGAAGACCTTTGTTGTATGTATTAATAATAAAGGATAGATACGAAAATTGAATATTTCATATAAACATATTTTGTAGTCTATAAATATATTATGATAAAAAAATCAACCTGACTTAAGCAAAATATAGCAAAAAGCTTTAAACATAACTTGCATGTCATCTGATATATTTCATACAAAACTAATAATAAAATAGGTATTAATTTTCATATTGTTATTATAGTAGAATTTTATGTTTTTATTTTCACAATGTTTGTAAAAAATAATAATCTACACGTATATAAAGATTACCTAACTAATAATGAAAAATAACATTTTTTACAACTTTATCTACGAAACTGTTTTAATTAGTATTTTTTATTGTTTGTAAATTAATAAACCAAACCAGAAATGGCTACCACAACAACACAATATAATAACTTGAAATTTGTATTTGACTTTGATCTTAACCCTTCTTTAAAATTAGATTGTCCAGCTGGATCTATTGGATGGAACTGTAAGCAGAAATGTCCATTAGGATATTACGGACGGTTGTGTCAATCTCCATGCGAGTGTCAAGCTTCTAACTGTCATCATGTTATAGGATGCACTACAGGTAACACTGTTATTTAGACAAGTAACAATTTTGAAAACTTTGAAATGAAGAATTTTTTTAAATAGTCAACTCGTTTAAAAAATATTTAGATTTATTTAAACTCTCAGTAAAAATTAAATACTTTAAAACGTGTTCGTTGCAATATTTCGAATGTTTGTGTGTCACCCTGCAAGAAGCCAGTGTTTAACTGTCATAATGTTACAGTATGCATTATGAGTATTTCTCTTTATTCTGAGATGTTTTTTTGGTCACATTTGTCGAAAAAACATTAATAGTAAAATAAATCATTTCTTAATGCAATAAATTAGAATTATATTCATTTGATAATTTCAATTTAATCTTTTTTTGCAAAGCAGTCAGAAAACACTTTTTCTAGTATACCACCAGACGTAAGGCATCACACAACTGTTTCTGAGTATACGAATAACCATTCACATCTGCAAAACAAACTTTCTTCTACTCAAAACACGTTTACAGTTTCTAAATGGATGAATAAAACGAGGATAACCTCCAGTCTGTATCCAGCACGACGTCAGGATCTATATGTTAAACATGACACAGATACCTGGATAGCTGTGAGCTGCTCACTCATTGGATCTTTTGTAACACTCATTCTGATTGGATGTCTTCTTTACTTCCGATCGCGGTAAGCCAAAAGCTCAAATCTAGAATTATGCATGTTTTCACTTGATATACGTTTTAAAAAGTGGGTTAATTGTCTCCTTTCGCCAAACTTTGAAGAAATGCAATACAATATTTGCAAAGTCGTTTAAAGACAGATGAAACGAAGAATAGATACATTGATTGATATAAAATGTTAGATTTAATTTAGTTGTAATGGCATACAATTAAATACATACTAAATTCTTAAAACATTAAGCTTTGTATATTTTTATAAAATGATTACAAATCTTTTTACAATCTATAAATATATGCTGCTGAACTTATTCATCTTACGCATAATTACATTACCTTCTCAGTAATGTTTATGATTTTTGTGAAAAAGAACCTCTGTATCGTATCCTTATCGTAATATTTCTATCTTCCTAAAAGCAGCAATCAAGATTATATTCTGTTTCATTGTTTAGCTCGAAACTCAAGATGAAACATCCTAAAAGAATTGGAAGGATTTTGTCTACAAGCACAGAAGCAGGTTTGTCATTGTCTCACACCAAGGTTCTTTGTAAGGATATGGCTTATTTCTAACCTAGATTTCTTGTTTGCTTAAACACTCAAAATCTTGAACAATAATATCTCTTTTACGTTTTACGTAATGAAAAAAGTACAAACTATATACAAGGAATTTCTCAGATATTGAAAATTTTTAATATGGAGATAACGAATAGTATTCAGGCTCCAAGTCCACTGAATAATAGAAATCGAAAGCAGAGAAAATACGAATCTCCATATCAGAGGTGGGACCAAGTGCCATGGAGTAATCAGCATCCTCTGCCCACACTCACCAGGGCCTCTGTTTCATTATTGTGGAAAAAGAAAGAACCCCTGGACAACTGTGTGAGGAAATATTGGCCAATTACGTATATGTATGAAAACCAAGATAAATTTTCGACCAAACTCTACTTGCATTGGTTTATATATTTGTAAGCTTTTAACCACTTGAAGAATATGCCGTGCTTTGAGACGATGCAGGGTTGTTTATTTCATTCTTTTTTCTTAAAATTGGTAAATAGTTTATAAAGTTACAGCATTTAAAGCAACCGATGCATTGCAAAATCTCTTGAATTTTCTATTACCCTTATTTTTAAGTAGATTCAAGCATTATATGATATATATTTTTTCTTCATAGCACATAGAAAGTACAGTCTGATTTTCAAATCTGTTGAATAATTTAACTCTTTGGCAGAAAAATTAGATAGATTTTTTTCCGAAAACTTTGTTAAATTTAAACTTACTTCTGAATTTCTCCAGATGCATGTACTAGCTTGACCCTTCGGGGTTGTCTTTGTTTATCTCAATTAGATTTCAAACAACGTCATCCTATCTAACACAACATTTATTGCTTATTGAAATCCCTAACGACTATTAACTATCATCCTTTAAATCAATTTAACCAGTCCATTCTAAATTTTCAAGTTTCATATGTAAATTTGTATATATTGTGCCTAATTAGAAATGTTTTTCTGTTGGAAGTCCTATGCATTATTTTCTTCGTTAGCCGGCTTGTTGTTTTTTTTTCTTCAAGAAAAGCAAAATCATTATTTATCTAGTATAATGTAGGTCTCATATTCAAGTAGATGATTGGTCGGTGTACAGGATCACAAGTGTATGTATCTTTTACAGGTAGAAACTTACAACTGCCAGAAGGACACTTTGAACTTTCTGCACTCACCCCAGAAAGCCAATGCGAAGATGATGACACCTATGCAGAAATAAGGGTTTCTCAAATTGACGGCGCATGTGCAGCATCATGCATGGACACAATTTCCAAAAATGAAAAATGTTGTAAGATCTCTAAAGAACCAAATCGTAAGAGAAATACAAATTTGTATGAAAAATGTTCATTTGAAACCGAATATGATCAAATCAATCTGAAAATGAAATCAAGTTTGTCACCGTCGTTACATAATGAGCGAAAAGTTATAACTGTCAAAGATCAAGGAATTGATGTTCTATCATCGCAAAAAAAAATTGAAGTTCACGATGAAAGTTTTACATCTCTGATATTACCACCAAGTTTGAAGAGATTTCGAACAAAAGAGAACAACCAATTCAAGCCACACTCATCTAGTTTACACCACTCTGTATCTGAAAACGAATTTTATAAGCAAGATAGAAAGGACGAAGAGGAGAACTATGCAGAATTAAATCAAGCCAAACATATGACAATATCTGGTCCCAACGTAAAGGAAGAAGAAGATCGACCGTACAGTGTCGTTTATTTGTCGTCATATAATGATTTGAATTCCAAAGATAGAGTGAGGCCTGGCAAAGGATCTCACAGCAATGCTAAATCAGAAGAAAACGTTTTAAAGTCAGAATCAAATCAAGCCAAACATATTGCTGCATCTGATCCAAACGTAAAGGAAGAAGAAGATCGACCGTACAGTGTTGTTCATTTGTCGTCATATAATGATGTGAATTCCAAAGAAAGAATGAGGCCCGGCATAGGATTCCATAGCAATGCTAAACCAAAAGAAAACGTTTTAAAGCCAGAATTAAATCAAGCCGAACATATTGCTGCATCTGATCCCAACGTAAAGGAAGATGAAGATCGACCGTACAGTGTTGTTCATTTGTCGTCATATAATGATTTGAATTCCAAAGAAAGAGTGAAGCCAGGTACAGGATTTCCTAGCAATGCTAAACCAGAAGAAAAAGTTTTAAAGCCAGAAATAGGTGAAGTCAAACATATGGCGGCATCTGATCCCAACGAAAAGGTACAAGATCGACCGTACAGTGTTGTTCATTTGTCATTATATGATGATGTGAATTCCAAAGAAAGAGAGAAGCCGGGCAAAAACTTTTCTGGCAATGCTAAACAAGAAGAAAAAGAATTATCAAAACAAGAGGTCCCGGAATAATAGACAATTTAGCTATGTACATGTAACGAAATTTGGCCGAATGAAAACAACTTTGACATAATTTCTACTGGGATAAATATGTCTTGATTTAAGATAATTTTCTACCTATCGCTGTTGTACCATCTTATAAAATAAAGACTGTTTCTAAATAAACTTCCGTCTGGTAGAGATTTTATGTGATATGAATGTTTCACTCTTACCACGAAGTGATTTTCCCTACCTTTCAGTTGTTTAAAAATGTTTATTTTCTATGCGGCAATAGCTACATATAAATCTGCTTTTAATTGGTACCGCCTTATTTTGTACGACTACATTTTGTCGTCTGCGTGGCACAGTGATAGAGTAAGAAATAATCCTAACGTCAAGGGTTCGAGTCCCATTGTTGACCGTGGAAAACAATCCTTCGGATGAGACTGTATAAACCGAAGTCCCGTGTCGCAGTAGATGCTGGCAAGAAAACATCCCCACTGCTCAATGGCCCTGAGTGCTGATTACAGGACAACATTTGCAGCTCTCCTCCGGCTAGTTGGGCTAGGTAGTTGTGGCATCTCTATATATAAGAGAGAGAAAACTCTCGAAAAGGACGTTCAACAACAAATTAAAAAACAAGTACATTTTTGTTCTGATCATGTAACTTACCTACTTGTATAAACTTTAAGGAACTCTTTCCAATTCAGTGTAATTTCAGGTTACTTTTTGTTTTCAGTAATTTGGAAAATTAATGTGATTTTTGATGCTGTTTGGTGCACAATGTAGTTGAAGTTAGCATTCTGAGAATCAGCATTACCTAAAATAATATATAAGAATATTTTTTCAAATTGTGCTTTTCTTTCGTCATGGTTATATAGACCTACTTGATATTTGATAAAATTGTCATCTGTTGTTTAATTCTCTAATGTATTTGATTGCAGAAATATTGCATAAAATTTGAAATATTTAGTTATTTCTAACAATGTACAAAAATATAGAATTATTTTTAAACCACAGATCTATCCTGTTTCCTCGAAATATTGAAGTTCGTTAAAATAATTTTTAAAAATGAGGGAAAACTATCCACAATTATACATCTGCAATGTTACTGCATAAAACACTGAGGAAGAAGTCACTCAAAATGAATCATTTCATGGATGATATTTTACGTGATCGCACTGATTGGAATCATTGATCTCCTAAAAGACAGATGTGTAATTATGTTCAGTTTGAAACTGTAGAAGTTTGGCCTTACGCATCGTGGATATCGGTCTGGATGACTCAGTGGTTAGAGCACCTGACAAGTAATGCAAGGGTCCCGAGTTCGAATTTCGCCATATGTTTTCTTCGTTCCGGTTTGGTTCTACAATTAGCGACTAAATTCTGCTTCCCATAGTGACATAAAATGTGCTTTGATAGCCGCAGTAAAAGCAGTTGGTGTCTTATTAAAGAAAACTAGTGAATTAAAGAGCTTGGAACCATAAATGTAAGTAAAAAATAGATTATTTTATGATTGAAGTTAATGACAAAGTCTAGTTTTTTTTTTATTTTTTATCAGTCTTCGAATCACATGTACAGACTGACAGACTCTCAGTTCGTGATTATTGGCTGAACTTTTCATTGCATTTTGGAGAGAATCGAAAAACTTTTTTACTGAGAGGAAGTGTGTCAAAAACCAATATTTATATACAGTGAAAAGCATCATTTAAATCTTACATCATTTAAATCTTATTTAATTTATTTAATATTTAAAAAATCTTTCGGTAAAAATCGAAAGGAACAGTAATGAGTAAGATAATTGATTTCTTCATAATTCATGTACCAGTACAAATAGCTACAATTTTTGGAAAAGATAATACTTGTCTTAACCATTTGAGCAGAGAGAAGCTTACCGAAGATAGGGCATTTCAAGTGAAGGAGAGTAAGGAAAGTGGTTTGAGGTATTCCAAGACGTGAAGAATCCTGTATTTTGTGTGGAATTCAGGGTATTAAAGATAATCTAACAGCAATCAGTATGGTCCAAATATATATTAGTATTCATACTTTCAAAACTTAATGCTAGTAGATCTAGTACTAAGAAAAAATACGACATAATTCAATTTGAGGATATTTCAACATGAACACTTTTAAATATTGTCATCAATAATTTTAATTGTAGATATTGAGCAACTATTCCCACAAGAAGAAGCATTTGCCTCCAGGGTACCATGGACGTGTGGCAATATAAATCCAAAGGACAACTGAGGCCTAGTTAAAAGCCACTTTCCTGCACATTCAGTCTTAGACTACATTTAATTTTTGCTAACAATAGGACTCAAACTGAATTACATACTAAGGAAAAACTCTACTAGGAAAATTAATCTTAGGTGTCATATCAATTAAATGCTCACATTACTTTATTGTAATGTTTTTAATGTACTGAATAGATTAATTTGAATAAATTTACAATTGTTTGAAAATTTTGTTTGTTTATTTTTTTCCTCCCTCCCTCGTAGGTTTTGAACTTTAGATGTGACGTTAAACGTAGAATTAACTTTAAACAGCCTTACTGCATAGAACAAGGAGGAAGAAATCACTCAAAAAATGAATCAATTTCTGGATGATATTTTACGTGATCGTACTGATTAGAACCATGGATCTCCTAAAACACAGATGTGTAATTGCGTTCAGTTTGAAACTGTAGAAGTTTGGCCTTACTGACCATGGATATCGACCTGAATAGCTCAGTGGTTACAGCACCTGACTAGTAATGCAGGGGTCCTGGGTTCGATTCCTGATCCAGCCATATGTTTTCTTCGTGCATTTTTCTCGTACTACAAAAACGTGCTAGCACAGAACACTCCAAATGGACTTGAAAACTAAATGTCACACCTTTTTTTCCAGCAATTTCTCGTCATATGCGTACATGTGACACTTTGTACTTTTGATGTATGTGAAATAAATAAAAAGATAAAAAGAGTATCTGTTTTTTTATATTACTTATTTTATAAATGTACATGTAGAAACTACAACTTCGTTGGCTTGTAAGTGATCAAAAAACATGTCAAATATGTTTTAATGTGCTTTGCTAAATGTTTCCTATATGGAATATACTGTTTTTTCGCGAGTACTTATTATCGTGAATGGACTCTTCAACGTCATATTGCGAGAATAATATTTCGCGAATGGACGGTTGATCGAGATAATTTACATATAATTCAGTACTAAAAAAAATAAAGGCGAGTTATTTTATTTCGCCTGTGGTGCTTCTCCCGAAATTAGGCGTTAATTAATTCCACGCGTATATTTAGGAATCTTCAGTAATTACAATTTCTTTGGAAATTTATTCCACGTGTCTTTTTTACCTCGACATATGAATTAAAGTAACTTTTGTAATTGATAATGTACGGTCAATAGATCTGAATGTCGAATTCAGGGCCATAGCTTCTTCATCTCATGTAGAAGATTTGAATTACTCCTGCTACATAGAAATATAAAGAGCAGGTTAGGAATGCGAATAAATAAAATTATTATTTTACAGATATCTCTTGCATGCTCATATGCATACCATGAATATACGTGTAAAAAGATTTTTAAATAACATCAGAAATGCACTCTATATTCATTTTTAAATACAATTTAAGTACAGTAAATTATATTATTTACTCATAAACTCAAAAGATAATACATGCATATCTTAAATGTACAAGGAAATAAAAGATTGAGTCTTCAAACTAATGTGACTTGACTTCTGTTTAAATTAAATTGAAAAAAAGTGTTTTAAGATGGAGTTAAAAACAAAACAACACAAATTAGCATTCTAGAGACGAATAAAGGACACTATATACAAGAACAAACGGTACATTCAATATTTTAAAACACGTGTAATATTTCCTCCTACAAATCAAGCCACGTTAGAAGTATTGTGTTCCGTCCTGGATGTTTAATAATCATATATCAATGCTTAGATATAGAAAGCTGCTTATTTACATGGTAGTGTTCTATGAAGATGACAACCAGTGCTTGTAATAGGTAACATGACTCTCATACAAATGTGAAAATAAATCCACTGATGTATACGAAAAAAAAAGTATTTTAAAAGAATTTCTCTATTGAAAAGGATTTGTTGTGAAATTAAGTATCTTTCTTATTTTTAGTAGTATAGAATCACCGTGCTGCTACAATACGTATCTAGACCCAAAGAGTAAGACATGCACAGGTATGTATTACCAAAGAAAATGTCCTCTACCTTCAATTAAAATATTTTAGCTTTTTAACAAAAGATTAGCACATCCATGTTTTCTTGTAGTGTTTTGCAAGATTAACATATAAGAATACACTTTTTAACTTTTAATCGATTAAGAATATAAAGATAACAAACAGTATAAATCCTAAAAAAAATACATATATTTTTCTCCATCATATTTATTGTAATTGTGAATACTTAATATTCGACATGAAATATGTAGAGATGACGAAAAGTGCTCGAACTCAAAAGTCCACTAAACATTAAGTCCATAAAACTATACAAATTAGGAGCAGAGGAAACATTTAAAACCTCAAAAATTCATCGGCTCTTGGTCACTAGAGATATATAAACTCTGTATGCAGGTGACAAAGGTATATTACTGCAAAAGGAAGGGAAGTTGACGATAGAAAAGGTAAAGTTATCATATTTATCATAGAGCTTGATTGTTAGATTACCATTAACATCTTTTTCAAGTAAAATGTCCAATGATAAAACAGATGAGTCAGACTCTGTTGTATCTGTTATCTCATCGCCCGAATGTTGCAGTGGTTAGATCGTCTTCTCTAGAGTCGCAAAGTAAGGAGAAAAGCCTTACGTTGCGGGTTCAAATCCCACTGTGGGACGTGGAGCCGGTCCTTCGTATGAGACCGTAGAAGCCGAGGTCCTGTGTCGCAGTAGGTGCTGGCACGAAAAAGATCCCTCCTTGCTAAATGGCCCTAAGTGTCGAGTATAGGGAAAATAATTGCAGCTCTATACCGGCAAGTGTTGGCGTCTCCATATGTGCGAAAAATTCTCGAGAGGGATGTTAAACAATATGCAATCAACCATCTATTATCTCACGCTCACCAGGATATATCGTATCGACATATGAATAAAATTTTCCATTGTTTATTGATAAAACGTCGTCGATATATTCAAATGTCAAATTGAATTCAGCAAAGTCATTAACAAAACATTCTATAACAAAAGGGCTTATGCATTTTTTAGATTTAACGATATACAAAAAGAAATAAAGAGTTTGTGCAAAAATAATGTTTTCGTCTTTTTTATAATACAAGTTGAGTTTTTTTTAAGTTTCATAATACTTCAGAATGTCCAGCTGGATCTTTTGGTTTGAACTGCAAAATGGCATGTCCGTCGGGATATTACGGACGGTTGTGTCTGTCTGTTTGTCAGTGTCCTGACTACGACTGTAATGATATCACTGGGTGCAATACAGGTAATTCTTATATAAACAGACTCAATAAAATGTGGTATAACACTGAAAGAATAAAAAGAAAAATTAAAAACGACGTATTTTTTCAAAAAAGAATGGGCTCTAAATGATATTAGTTGCCATTTAGATTTCATACTATTACAAGATTTTTATTTACCAATTTAATCAGAAAACAGCGCTAGTTTTCCTCTTATATCAACTGTCATTACATCTCAAACAACAAAAATTGCTGAAAGGACACGTATAACGGCAGATATTCAAACCACAATAACGTCCCATCCGTTTCCAGCAAAACATCATGATCAAAAAATAGCTGTAAGCTCTTCCCTGATTGGTTCGCTGGTAACACTCATTCTGATTGGATGTTTTCTGTACTTCCGTTCTCGGTAAGCTAACAGATTTTGTATCTAATATGGTTTAATTGGCAAATTGAATATGTAATTGAACAGTAAAAAAAACTTACCATTTATCTAGGTAAACAACGTCCATCAAGGTTCATCTTTTGTCTTTTTACCAGATTCTTTTTCATATTTCCATGGCATACAAGAAAAAACATTTCTTTTTTCAGAAAGAGACTTAAAGTTGAATTTCCGAAAAGAATTCGAAGGATTTTATTTTCTCGCACAGATGAAGGTATGTGTATTTCATTCATTAGGATAGAATGTGTAAAAAACATATTACTTGACTGTACAAAATGATATTTTATAAACTATTTTGAATATGTTTACGTTGTATAGACCATAATCTACTGTATTATGATTATGGGATTACGTAATCACAAATACGTATGATTAAGGAGTGAGTCTAATGTATTTATTTGAAAACATTTTATCAATAATTTTGGAATCCTTGTCATATCTATATTTACTTTATTCGTCGATGAAATATAAGAGGGGACTTTTGATAAACCTGATATTTTTCTAGGAAAATTCCACTTCGATCTCTGATATGGATTTTTTTGGCTACTTGTAAACATCCGTTTTTTCTTTTACCAACAAAATTGTACATATACCTTTAAGGGTTTCCTGTTCAACTCAGTTATGTTTGTTCTCCGATTTTGGTTGTTCACTGTATAAATTATTATAACTAGTGCTAATTGTAACGGGAACCGTTACAGATGTTCCCCAAACGCTCCCCAACTTCATTTTGGTGCCATATTCCCTTAAGTTTCATTAAATAAGACAAACTCTGTGAATTTTTGACTTTAACAACGTTTTTCGAGAAGGATACCAATTACCAAAGATTACCAATTATATTCAAACTGTAGTTTGCACCCGTGCGCATGTGAATGCATGTGCGTTATGACCATATCATCTTGTCTACACTATTTATATATTTTAATATGCTATATATTAAAGCATTCAGTCCAAAAGTATTAAAAATTACTCATTAAAATGTATTTTTAGTTCCACATGCATGCACGTGCATGATGGCCATACCTTCTTTTAGGAGTCCCTTATATCTATCTATGTTCTAAATCTCATCCTGTTTGGTTGAAAAACAAGGGAGTTATGGCCATTTCAAGTTTCAGCCAATCAGATTGCAGCACACGTGCATGCGCGTGATTTCATGAATTTTTTCTATATCATATTGTAGGATATCCTAATGCATGTCTATGTTTTAAATTTCAAAGCATTTCGTCAAAAAACAAGGGAGATATAGCCATTTAAAGTTTCAGCCAATCAGATTGCAGCACGTGCGCATGCGCATGCTTTCATGAAAATTTTTATTTATCAGGCTGTAGATCTTCATAATGTAGGACTATGTTCAAAATTGCAAAGGATTATGACAAGAAACAAGAAAGATATTGAGACTTTAGTTTCAGCCAATCAGAGCAAAGCACACGTGCATGCGCGTGCGATCTTGCTATTTTGACTATGTCATCTTGTGAATACTACTAATATATACTTATAAAATGAGTTTCAAAGCATTTCCTCAATAATTTTAATAGTTACGTCTCTATCAATTATATTGGACATTTCTCGTGTTGCACGCGCGAGCTCTTGAAAGCACATGTGCATGCACATGCTTTCATGAAAAATCTTATATTACAGGCTGTAGATCTCCCTAATGTATGACTATGTTCAAAATTTCAAATGATTTTATCAAAAAACAAAAAAGATATTGAGACTTTAGTTTCAGCCAATCAGAGCGAAGCACACGTGCATGCGCGTGCGATCTTGCTATTTTGACCATGTCATCTTGTGCATACTACTAATATATCCTTACATTATAAGTTTCAAAACATTTCGTCACAAAATAGAAAAGTTACGATTATATCCATTATATATTGGTCATTTTAAGTTTCGCACGTGCGCGCTCTTGCAAGCACGTGCGCGCAAAATGACCTTGATTCCGCAAATCTACATAACATGCCTACTTACCCTAAAAAGGTTTCACCTAAGTTGGATGAGTAGTTTACAAGATCACTCGCGGACAAAATTTTCCCAAGAAGAAAAATAATAATAATAATAATAAGAATAATAATAATAAGAAACAGAGTAAAAACAATATGTTCCCCAACTTCGTTTGGGGAACATAATTAATTGAATTGTATTTGATGCAGTAATTGGCTTTAAATAACCATCTAAACACGGTTTCTTTAAACTAAGTCTGCTTTGTTTTTCTTTAAATGAATAAGGCTTTATTGTAACGTTGCATGTATATCCATATTTTACAGAAAGAAACATACAACTTCTTCAAGAGGATCATCACCCTCCATCCACGGTCACCACATTGAGCCGATGCCAAGATGACGATACCTATATGGAAATACGGTTCTCTCAAATGTTTGCTGCATGCTTACTAACATGCTCAACTACAATAAACAATAATGAAAAGAACCACGTGGCATCCAAAGAGCTTAGAAAAGTTTCTAGAAATACAATTTTGTACGGGAAATGTTCATTTGAAAATGAATATGACCATGTTAAACTTAGAGTGAAATCCGGCATTTCTGAGCTGCCTTATCAGAAATTCGGAGTTGGAAACGATCTGGATTATGTCGTTCTGTCTGAAAAAGGTCCATTGCAGAAACAATTGTCATATCATGACGAAAGTAGCAAATCTTTGACTTTACCTTCCATTTGTAAAACAGTTAAACAAAAATTACAACAACATTCCTACAGTTTATGCCATGCAAAATCAGAAAATGACTTGGAAGATGAAAAGATTCCAAATGAAAAAGAAAAGGAGTCAATTAAATCAACTTCAGACATTTCAGTGACTAAAAAAGACCCCGGGTTTAAGGAGGGCAGTGGACCGTACAGTTTGGCTCATTCATTGTCCCATAATGATTTAAGTTTAGATGACGAAGGAAAATTAGGAAGCGATCCATTCAGTAGTGTTATACCGAAAGTAAAGAAAGATTTGGAAAGAATGAAACCAGAGAATTTGATAAACAGTCGATATAGCTATGTTCAAAAAATAGAAGATTGAGAAAAAGAATGAAAAACCATATTGTATACACAGTGTTGTTACATATGTATTATCAACATTAAATATTTTATACCAATTTTTGTAATTTTGTGATGTCAAACGTCAAGAAAAATTGATTTCTAATATTGTTTTGACTTTTTCTAGAAATACATTTAAATGAATACAGCAAAAGACTTTCTGTGACCTTTTGTATATGCCGTAAACTATCATACGTTCCTAAATCTAAATGGATCCTGCTTTTGATATTCAAATCAGATGGATAACACCATTTGCAGGTAAAAGCGGGATATTACTACATAAAAAGAAAGGTTTATAATAGATAGTTTAAGTCATGTCATTTTTCATACAATTAAATTTTTTATATTTAGTTGGGACTTATCGATATAGTCAGCAAAACATCCAAACATGAAAAAGTTGTGACAGGCGCTGGGGTGTCTTAAATAAGTTCATCGGTATTTATCAATCAATGTTTGAATGAAAGTTACAATAAAGAGATTTTTTTAAGACAAAAAACTTCTTAATGTCGACTCTAATTATGATAATTTGAAAATTTGGTGAAAACATTCATAAAGTAAAAAATATTCTTTGAACTTAAAAATCAGTTTTCAGCGGGAATGATGTTTTACAACTGGAACTTTTTGAATTAGCAATTAGGAAAATATCCTAAAACGAGGTAAATTATTGACAAACAAGTTAATGAAACAAGAATATCAGCAGTCTCGTGTAAATCATTACTTCGTATGTTCTTTGGTCGATACAATGACCTTGTCAGCAAATACAATTTATCTTTGAATCAAATTCTGACTGAAGTCTTTCATACTAATTGTAAGTCCATTATCTGAATTGACGACGGATTTGTTTGGTTATTTCCCGATCATGACAAGAAGCAGAGGGTGGATGTGACCGGTTTGCAGGGAATGATCACTCTTCCATGACACCTGATCTTACCTTCCATGTTTTAGAGGTCCGTTTTTGCTCTGCTCCTATTTTGTATTGTATAATGGACTTTGATAATGAATAATGTTTGCTTTCTCTATATCCTTCGCTTAGACTATACGAGTGCTTTTGGTTTTGGTATACATATCGTGCATATCGACACGAATTAACACTCGGAAGATGATAGCAATTGTTAACAGGATTGTAAAGTTTCAAATCTTAAAGAGGTACATATGACAGAATGCAAATGTGTGCTATTTTTAAAAGATTCTACTTACTTGAAATGCATTTATAAATAAACGTGCAAAAGGATTTCGAAAATCTACTCCCTTGATATTCCTTCATTCTTCCCTTAAAAAAGTGTATCAGATATTCCTGTTTTACCACATTTCTTTCACAAACTAAACACGTTATAGCGAGATATCTTGTGATTGCAATTATCAGATTCTTTTCACTTTTGCGTTGGTTTAAATTCTTCTCCTATATACATGGTTATAGAAAATTTTCATACACAGACACTAACAAAACACATATATTCACAATTCTTAAATATTTCTCATTCATTTTCAATAAGGTGTACTTTTGGAAAATTTGAGAATCAAATTGTTTAGCCAATTCAACATCTTATGATTTTTATGGCACTCAATAAAACTTTTCCTCTTTTATATATAGAACAAACGCTAACAAAACATATATATTCACAATTCTTAAAATTTTCTTTATTAATTTTCATCGTGGAGTCCTTTTGGAAAATTTGATATTCAAATTTTTTAGCCAAATCATCATCTTAAGATTTTTTATGGCACTCAATAAAACTTTTCCTCTACAAGATAAGACCAAGGATTTTTTATCATTCCAGAAAGACAACGATGTGTATTCAAATGTAACTGCTATTAATAACTATGGACTAAATAATCAAAAGTAAGAATGTAATTCTCCAAACAAAATACAAATTTATTAGCTTTTAAAAGTTTTCAATAAAATAAATTGAGAGAAAATATATAGAGATAGAGAACAGTATTCAAGCTCAGAAGTCGATTAAACATGATAAATCAAGAGCATACCAAACACAGTCCTACGGACCTTTAAAACATCAGAGAAGGAATCAGGTGACATTAATGAGTGAATATCCCTTGCCGACCTACCACAGTAGCGTTTTTCTGATTGTCATGATCAGGAAAAATTTGGGGAAAAATATCCGTCGACAATGCAGTGTGTAAATAATGGCCAACCAATAAGTATGATAAACGTCAGTCAGCATTTGACTCAAATGATAAATAGTATGTACTGACACGAATGTTGTATGTATACAATGTATACCAAAAGGCTTACGAGATCATGACTTTTAAGGAGATTGCTGATATTCTTGTTTCATTACTTGTTTGTGAATAAGTACTTCGTCTTAGTAATTAAAAAATATGGTCCTCGCGTATCAGAACCACTGAGAAATGTAAACCCGTATGCAGGTGATAAAAGTATATTGCTGCATAAGTAAGTGAAATTGACCACTGAAAAGTCAAAGTCATCAAGTTTATCATAGAGCTTGTCGTTAGATTACCAAAAACGTCTCTTTCAAGCAAAATATCAAGATATGAAACAGATGTGTCAGAATGTTGTATCGTTTATTTCAAGCTCTCTTAAATATATGTGTTTTGTATCTACATAAGAATGTAGATAACCATTGTTAATTGACAATATGTCATCGATTTATCGAATGTCGAGTTGAGTGCCACATAAGGTGTTTTCTTTTTTCTATGTATAAGCATTTGAAAAATGTTTTTTTTTATTTTGATAAAATTTTGTTATTTCAAATTTTCTAAAAGTTCCTTGAATGTTTTAGTAACCACATTTGATCTACACCACTTCTCGAATATATTGCACAGTTATCAGGAACTTTCTCCTTCGCTGTTTTAGTGATGAGAGGCTTGATAGAACATTTACTGGAACGTATCCTAATTTTGTTTCGTAGGAATTTTATATGAAGTTTCGGAATGTATAGGTATGATTATTAAACATTCATTTTGTTAATTAAGGATATAAAAAATATTCAAAACAAACGTGCTTTTTTAAAAGATGTTCTCCTTAAAAAAGGAAGGTCGGACATAAGCTGGATTGTCACTCGTCAAATTAGATACCCGTTCCTCTGAAATACAATTTAAATAATGACCCTTACGAAAAAAGACAGTCTTTTAACTGCTTTGTCAGCAGGAACCAGCACATACTGATCATATAATCTTTCCTACTCTTTTTCACTTCTGGAGTAATGAAGACAGGAGAAAAGTTGGTTTTCAATTTGCCCCTCGGTCACATAATGCAATTTTGAAAATTAATCCATTCTGACAACATGTAAAGGTTTTCTTTTTCATACCTGGTGCATCACCTGGCGTAATCTTCGGCAGAATCCTTAATATTTATGAAGTTATCAAGTCAGTTTAAAATTTGTTTACCTGCATTTTGGTCCTTTTAAAAGTAATGACTTAATTAGGTTCCTCATCATTAATTAACTCATTCTTCGTCATCAGTAATTATGCATCCAGGAGAACCATAGGTGTAGTGTGAAGAAGAACTTGAACACAAAGGAGGTGTGTGTTCAAGATACCCCATATCTAGGCTCTGTAAATAATAATCACTGTAAATATTTTGGTTATTGTTTGAAAGCAATAGTTGATGTATGTTTGTAGGAAGAACAAGGCGTAGTCTTCAACATGCAATAATGTGAAATGCAAGACTGTAACCGTTTTGAGATTAAGAAAATCATTAAGATTTTATACTGCGTCGTTGGCCTATTGGAGTTTAAGCAAAAACGGGTTGTTAAGGCTGCTCTGTCTTCCAGAAAACGTAGCAGTGTCAAAATCCTATGATTTGCAATATCCATAAACACAGATTCGAGCCTGTATTCAAATTTTGTTGAATAAAAAAAAAATAAATTATTCCTGAAATATTACAAAAAGCGGATGGAATTATGTATTATCATTTCGTAACTGTCGACGCGTTTTTCCAAACTCATTGAACTGGTTTAAATGTTCAGTGTATATGTCGGGGAAAATAAATTTCATCGAAAAAGTCCTAAAATCTAAAATAAACTAGCAGAAAAGTATACAATTAAGTGTTAAATAAAATGGGAATGAAAAAGAAAATATCACTCTGTTGAATTCCAAACAGTCAGAGAAGAATCATCGGTTCTCACTATCAATTAAGCTTGAGATAAAACATACCACATAGTCCGACACTTCTGCTTCATACTGTAGATCACTATATACTTTCGCGACACCTTATTTTCTCGAGATAGTCATTGACTCTTGATTAGCGAGACAAAATTTTCACGAATTGTTGTTATTGCTCTATATAATCTTAAGGAATACTTTAATATCCGAGAATTAAATTTTCGAGAACACTCTGTCTCGAGAATTACGCGAAGATTAACTGTATATTCAAGAAGTAGTGTGAATCAGATGTGGATACTTAAAAATTCTAAAGAACTTTGGACAATTTGAAATCACAAAATCAAAAATCAACAGCTTAAAAACTAACGACTTTTCAACTTTATACACATCAATTCCCCACGACAAATTAAAATCCAGGCTTTTTGATATCATTGACACCTGCTTCTTCAATAAAAATGAACTCGTAAATTTACTTACCTCGTCATTGGTCATTTGCAAAATCATTTTGTTAAAACAGATTCTGATTGCACACATAAGTACTCTGAAGTTGACATCAAGAAGATGCTTGAGTTTCTGATTGACAATATCTATGTGGTTTTTGGAGACTAGGTATTCCAACAATCTATTGGAATTCTCATGGGTACCAATTGCGCTCCGTTATCAGCCGATTTATTTTCATATTCATATGAGGCAGAAGTTATGCAAAATGTAATGCGGGAAAAGAAGAAAACACTTGCTGTGGCCTTCAACTCGACATTTAGATATATCGATGACGTTTTGTCAATTAATAATGATAATTTCCATTCCTACGACGATCCGATATATCCTGGTGAGCTTGAGATAAAAAATACCACAGAGTCCCACACTTCTGTTTCATACTTGGATATTTTACTTGAAAAAGACACTAATGGTAGTCTAACAACCAAGCTATATGATATTGATGAACGTGAT